TTAATATTTTCAGTATGAAAATCAGAATATCTGACTTGTCTAGTGCCAGTGGACTTAAAAGAGCAAGAGTGAAGAATATCTTGAGTCAGGCTGCCACAGCCCTGTCCTGCCAACACTGACAATTTATAGTCTCTAGTTCCTATGGCTTATCACAGCTAGAGGGTAATATCTGAAATGAGAGAGCACTAGCTTTGGAATTAGAAACATCTGAGTTTACAGCCAGTTCTTCCACTACTGATTGTGAACTCTGGGTCAATACTTAAAGTCTCCATGCCAACTGTGAGGCAGAAATAACCCATACCTGTAAGAGCTTTGTGTAACCAGTCTTACTGTGGTGATCAAATATGGAATCACTATGTTGCACACCTGAACCCAATTCAGTGTCACATGTCAGTTAGTCCTCAATAAAAGTTTTTTAAAAAGTTGTTGTGAAGATAAAGGTACAATACATAAGATACTTAGCTAAATGTCTGAAACAAGGTCCATATTCAATAACTGGGTCTTCTTACTCTACTGATAACACTTCTGTGACTTCTGAGCCTGACACCATATCTACTGCTGTTATCACTTCTACTCCTGCAACCGCTAAGAAGTCACTGCATCCTACTCCTTTTGGCCAATGTACTATTGGCGGTAACATGTCAACTGTAATAATTCACATTCTTTGTATCTGCACACATAAGGCCCACTAGGCTAGGTAGTATTTAAAATATAAAATAAAAACACCATAACAAGTGTTGGTGAAGATGTAGAGAAACTAAAACCTTCATATTCCATTGGTGGGAATGTAAAATGGTGCAACCACTATGGAAAACATTTTATGTTAAAAAAAAAGTTACCATATGATCCAGCAGTTCTACTCCTAGAGATATACCCAAGAGAAACAAAAACTTAAATCCACTAAAAAACATACACAAATGTTCATAGCAGCATTACTCAAAACAACCAAAAAACGGAAACGACCCAAACATCTACAATGATGAATGGATACACAAAATGTGGTAGATCCATCTGTACAATGGAATACTATTTAGAAATAAAAAGTAATGAACTACTGATACAAGCTACAAGATGGATGAACCTTCAAAACATTATGCTATGTGAAAGAAGCCAGGTACAAAAGATGACATATTTATTACACGATTCCATTTATATGGCATGTTCAGAATAGGCCAATCCACAGAGACAGAAAATGGAATTAGTGATTGCCAGGGGCTGCGAGGAGATGTAGACCAAGGAGTCATTGCTAGGGCGTATGAGCTTTCTTTTGGGAGGAATGACAAGGTTCTAAACTTAGATAGTAGTGATGGGTGCACAGCTCTGGGAATATAGTCAAAACCAGTGAAGTTTATGGTGTGTGAGTTATATCTCAAAAAAGCTGCTTTAAAAATAGAATTAATCAAGCACATAAGGTCAACTACATATTTGAGGAGTGGCAGAAAGGAAAAAAGTTAGTCTTCTGGATCTACTGCGCTTTGCCAGGGAGTGCCAGTACCACCGCCCAAACCTCCAGGGAGGACAGGCAGTGTGGGCTCAGCAAAAGGACAAAGTAGGGTGGGTTAAGAGGGAACTCGGTCCCCACCCTAGACATCTGCTCTCCCATTATGAAGTGGGATATTTATGATAACGATTAAAACATAAGAATAGAAGGAGTAGGAAGACTATAAGCTCTAGAGTTGAAAACTCTGTTTGAAAGCTGGGGTTTAAACCCAGTTCCCCTCGGGCACCCGGTGGCTCAGTTGGTTAAGCTTCTGACTCTCAACTTTGGCTAAAGTCACGATCTCACAGTTCGTGAGAGGGAGTGCCACAGGGCAGATTGGGATTCTCTCCCTCATTCTCTGCCCCTCCTCTGCTTGTGCTTTCTCTCTCTCTCCCTCTTGTGACCTTGGACCAATTACTTAACCTCCCTGGCCTTCAGTTTCCTCATCCATAAAATGAGTATAATAATAGCACCTTTGTTCCCACGGTTGCTATGAGGATGCACTAATGCATATAAGCCCTTACAAGAGTGTCGTCTGATAAAATTAAGTGCCATCGTCGTCATTATCATCATCATTAGTATAGTTTTTTTGGTTGACCTGCTGACTCTACTCTCAGCAGTCAGACACAATCATGCAGCACAATACCATATGAGCACGAGCACTCCCAGGGGAGTACCCCTTGAACTCACCAGGGACTGTGGGCTTGTTCCTCCTCTACCTACCGATGACAATTCCTTTCATGAGGCCTCTTTGTTAGCACAGAAAATAAAGGCACCCAGGGAGAGCAGCACAGGGCATTTGCACTGGCTAATAACAGCAGTTACTACTGGCTAATAACGGTGCTAGAGAGAGTCAGGCACATTTTTGGGTATTTTACATTTGTTACTTCACTGAATTATCACAACAAGCCTGCAAGGTAGGCATTATTAACCACATCACTTTACAGATAAGAAGAAGTTCAAATATACTGAGTAACCAAGCTAATAACACAGTTAAATAAGTCAGAGCTGACATTCAAACCCAGATCCGTTTATCCTATGTCACTTTCGTACATTATGTTGAACTGGATTTCCAATGGAAGAGTGAGTAATCAGGACAGGAGTTAGGAATCAGAGAAGAGTATTTTTTGTTTCACACAATTACTCAAATAACAGGATGCCAGAATATATGCAGTGCCATCTGTTCTTTCACTCATTCATTCACATGTTTATTAAGCACCTATTATGTGCTAGTATCAGTGATAAAAACAGTCTTGGAAAGATAGATGTTAAAAGAGAAAATTACAAAAAATTTTGTTTTCATAAATAAAAGAGAAAATTACAGAAGAATATGGTCAGCATATTAATAAACAAATGGTGCTGGACAAACAGGAGATCAGGGAAGTGTCAACTGTGCTCTCTACTGCAGAGAGAGTCCCATCCACTGCCTTCAATTTCCTTAAACAACAATTCAGAGGAAAACACTTGAGACTCATTTTCAATGCCTTTTTCTCCCTGGGAACACTGATAAATGGAATTTTAAGCCACACTTCTGAATGTTTTCTATAATTTGTGTCTATTCAGAAAACTGCCAGCCCACAATCTTTCTCCCTGTACCTCATGGGACAGGACAAGGATATACCCAACTGCAGGACTGGGGGTGGATGCAGCATGGAGAGTCCACGGCAAAATGGAGGTTCCATCACAGGAATGGGCTATAAGAGGGCAGAGGCTGTTGGTGAGGTCAAAAGTACTCTATAAGTCCTAAGACATTAATGTCCATTCCAGGACTGATAACATTCTGACAGATTGAATGGTATGTGGAAGCAATTCATTTCACATTTTATAAAGCAACATTTCACAGGGTAGAGAATGTCAGCAGCATAAACACATCTTAATTTAGTCCTAAAATCCTAACGGGATTTCCATTGCACTCACAACCACAGAGGTAACACTTAAGGTTCTAATCCTGTCAGAGAGACGAGGCATTTTTCAACTCTTTCCTTATAGTAAAAGACAAAGCAATTACCATGGAAGAGAAAAAATAAGGGGAAGATACATGAAATATTTTTTGGAAGGACCAGCTAAATTGTCAGAGATTTAAAAGGATCAATGTTGAGATAGTAAATAAGGAATACACTAAATTCAATTTAGGAACTAAAGTTTTTCAAATATTTCAAGGTAATGTGTTAGCCCAATATGATCACATAAATAAGCTGGCAAATACATTCAACTGGATACCACGATACATAGCTTATGAATCACAAGAAAGCAATCTGTCACTTAGAATTCTAAATAAGATTTGATGTACTATTGAGTTTTTCCTATAAATGCAATAATTGTATAATAAAAGTTAAAAGAGAATTCAGAGAAAAAAAACCTGAGGTTCATTTTCAATAACAAAATATTCGTGAATTTATAAAGTAATTACGATATCCAAAATTTATTCCCAGAGTAAGTGCTGTAAGAGTAAGCAATAAAGAGCCACAAATAATAATTTCAGCAATATGCTTAAAATTAAATTTAAAATAAAATATTAATAACAATATATGTAAGAGAAAACACCTATAATGTATTAGTTCTGAACAGCATTCAGCATAGTTGTTTCCATTTGTCAGAAGAATAAAACACTGCCAATTCTTGATAATCTATGGCCAAATACTCATCTCTAAATTTTACTAAAATATATGTACTGATTATTCTTTATGAGATAAATTATTCAGCATATAGCACATAAGATTTATTTTAAATTATAACTGTACATCACACATAAAAGCATCTTTCTTGATAGTGCCTATTTTCAAAGTAGTTGACTTGAATCTTTTTATTATTATGAAATAAACTGTGTTTGGGTGGAAAATAACTTTTGAACTGTCATATGTTATATAATTATTGAATACCACAACTTTCAGCTCTGTACAAAAAAATGAAAAGCTTCTAAGAAAATTTAGTTTTGATGATGTGTGCTTTTAAAAAAGTAGATTTCACAATAAGAACAGTAGAGAAATCTGTTCATCAAATATTTATATCAAAATTTAACTTTTTGTTTTAGCTACAGTGACTAAAGTCCTTTTATTCATTTTTCTTTGCTCTAACAAAGAACAGTAGAAAACAAAGACTTAATTGTTCTTGTTAAGGTGTTTAATGACTATTTCAAAGAAATAGCTGATAATAGTGACAAAAGGCAGCTAAAAAAAGAAAGAAAGAAAGAGAGAGAGAGAAAGAACAAAAGAAAGAAAGAACAAAAGAAAGAAAGACAGAAAGAAAGAAAGACAGAAAGAAAGAAAGAAAGAAAGAAAGAAAGAAAGAAAGAAAGAAAGAACACAGAAAGTCTAAACAGCAAATCCCAACGTGAATATGTTAGAATCCCACTCAAAATCAGTTGTGTGTCTAATCTACAGATTCCGTGTCAGGTACCAGCCAGCTGGAAATCTCTGTATCCAGGAACTGGGACTAGGAACGAAATCAGTGGAAGTTTTCTCCTCCAACGGAGCCAAGAAATTGGAGCCACAACAGCAGGGCACTTCTGGCAAGTTCCTACCTTTAACCGCTGCTCATCCACATCGATGACTGTAGCCACGCGAATTAGCCTGGGGTTCCGTCTGTCCACCGCTTCAAGCCTCATGCTGGGCAGAAAACCGTGGGGTGGCCGCTGAAACATCAAGAGAGCCAAAGTCAGCAAAATCCCACTGCTCAGATGCCACATCGCATGTTTTCTAAAGTGCAATTGATCTGACTTTGCATTTAGACCTTGAACACAACTGGAATTTAGTTTCAAGGGCACGTAACACTTCGTGCATATTATTTTATCCAGTTTCATAAAAACCTGTGAGAGGAGAAAGAATTTTTTGGTCATTTTCAAGATAGCTAAAAAGACAGATTAAATCATATATTCATTAACAATCACAAGATTCAAAATAGGTCCTAATTTATTAACAATTTATCTATTTGATTAATTTTTTCTGAAATTAACTTTATAAATCAAGAAACTGTTGACCACTCTCACTGTCCAGTTTTGTAGAGTATGACTCAGAAGACACAATTATTTACTAAATAATTAGAAAAACATAAACATAATCCTTTATAAATCTAAATTTTAAAATAGATAAAAGCTGCATAACTCTTGACAGTTAAAACTATTTTAGAATCAAACCACAATGTAATTTAAAGCTATAACCTGTGCTTTGTTACTTATCTGTAACATAAGCATGTTAAAAACTGTTTTAATTTAAGCTTCTTCCAAAAATCCTAGGAACCAGGAGTCTATAGCGAGGGCACTTAGGAAATCCTAAAGAAAATGGGGTGGGAAAAAGCACACTGGGACTTACCAAATCATTGACACCAATGAAATTTAAATACAAAAAATCAAAGTCAAAAGACAACTCCAGCAGTGTTCATAGGTTGGTAAAAAGTCACTCTGAAAGCTATTACACATAAAATATTCAATCGACTTTATTGAAAATGAAACTGTACTGAATTTTGTAAGTCTAGAAATGGCAATAGGAAACCCTCATAATACATAATAAACAGTTAAATCTTTCTCCAATATCTGGTTTGCTTCTCTCCCGCTTTTGTGGAAGTATATTTTCTTCTAGAATGCATTATTATGTCTACTAAATAGAATATACTGACTACAAGTAGGTCTTTGATGCTTGAAAATCTTTCTGTTCTCCCCAAGGTCACTGTCCTGATAACAAAGGTAATAGTTTCATATTGCAGATGCCAAAGATACACAGCTTGAGATGAATCCATGATAACTCCATGTCAGATCCTGGAAGCTGCCTTTTTAACAAAATCATAATTTTATTTTGTTGTAATTTTCTTCTTGGAAAAATAAAATGAGTTTTGACAGAAAGCAAAAGAGAAAGAGGTTAACTACCAGCAGCTGGTACTTTGCTTATCGAGTTTTTTCAATTCCTGAAGTCCTTTCTAGCACTCCAGGACTTCTGGCTTTCTTAATTTGATTAAATTCATTTTCCAAATCCAGTCTATTAAAATAGATTTATTTAAAAAAACAAAATAGCATTTTGTTTAAAATCCCTTTTGATCCCTAGAAAACTTTCTATAAATGAAATCGTATGTAGAAGCTCACTATATAAAATTCTGACTAAAGATGAATCAGGAAGCCTGGAGCACACAATTAAGTTGAAAGGGAACAATCTGAAAACCACTTTACAACATAAATATCTCTAACTGTACTATCAGTGCACTGTCTTTTCCCCAATAATTTATGCTTGGTTCAACCCTGGAATAAAGGTATAAGTACAAATTTGAACGTTAAAAACTGGTATTCTAAATGTTAAAAGCAATGTTTCCCTCAAAATGGATAAAACTGTAACACACACCCACTACATACAGTTCACCTATTTTATTATGGCATCGTTGGCATTCAAACAGTTCCCAAGACTGTGAAAGTTCAGAGTTCCCTCCATGTGGACTAAGACAAGCAGAAATGAAGGACTCTGCCATTATTAGGGGTTCATGAGGGGCTTTCAATTGCACTAGGGTGGGCTACTGTGCTTTGTAAGAAGGGAAACCATCATTACTTTTGTGTAGAGGAACAATAGTAAATGAGTCACCTCCTTTGTAGTTTTAAAATTTTTTTTTTTTCAACGTTTATTTATTTTTGGGACAGAGAGAGACAGAGCATGAACGGGGGAGGGGCAGAGAGAGAGGGAGACACAGAATCGGAAACAGGCTCCAGGCTCTGAGCCATCAACCCAGAGCCTGACTCGGGGCTCGAACTCCCAGACCTCGAGATCGTGACCTGGCTGAAGTCGGACGCTTAACCGACTGCGCCACCCAGGCGCCCCCTCCTTTGTAGTTTTAACTGAAAACCAGGCAAAGTGGTTATGAAAATAACACTTGCATTTAAAAAGAAAAAAACTAGAATAATTTGAGCTGCCAAATTAAGTCAACATGTACACCGTTTCAAGTTGAGAGTGTATTAGAGAGTATACAACTCACCATTTTAAAAACTTTGGCAGGAACAGCATTAGTTTGAGTAGCTTCCAGATATTCTGTCCAGGAAAAATTTTCTGGATCAGGATAACCTGAAAAATACATATACATATCAAAAAATTACTCACTAATATTCTGATTCCCATGTACTATAAGACATTTGACCTTCTGTGAACTGCTCACTATTTAACAGCCCCTATGCTAAGAACCTCACATACATTACCTAAGTCTATTTTAACCTCTGAATGGGCTGTTTCATCCCCACTAAGGCAAGCAAGCACTCATATACCAGTTCATTCATTCACTGAACAAGGTTAAACAGGTTGGCCAAGGTCAAATGGTGGGTATTTGGCAGAGCCTGGTTACACCCAAAAGGCCTCTTTAGAAAGTTTGAAAAAACACTCACAATCCCTGTCTGACCTCAGACCATAAACTGAAAATCTTTCCAATTTCTCCAATACTTCTGCATCTATTAGGGTTTTGTTCTCTTAATTACATCTCTGTAATTGCAATTTCCCAGGTTTGCCATTTATAATTGCAACTTATATATTGGTATAACATGGTACAAAGCACTGTATGTTTAAAAAAATTCTAACTGGGGGCACCTGGGTGGCTCAGCCGGTTGAGCATCCAACTCTTGATTTGGGCTCAGGTCATGATCCCAGAGTCAAGGGATCAAGCCCCACGTGGAGCTCTGCACTGAGTGTAGAGATTGCTTGAGATTCTCTCCTCCTCTCCCTCTCCCCCTCCCCTACTTGTGCTCACTATCACGTTCCTTCCTCCGTCTCTCTCTCTCTCTCTCTCTCTGTGTGTGTGTGTGTGTGTGTGTGTGTGTGTGTGTGTGTATATATATATGTGTGTGTGTGTGTGTGTGTGTGTGTGTGTATGTGTGTGTATACATACATATATATATATACATACACATATATATATATACACACACACACACATATATATATACATAGATGTATATATTTCTAACTGGGTTTCTCATTTCTCTTTATATTTGTGTTATTTTATTCCTAATTACATTTGCTGAGGTCTATATTATTGTGTCATTTTCTTTTTCCTTTAAAGGAATAAGCACCTAGATTTATTCATCAGCTTTCTTGTTTTTTCTCTTTTCTAATTATTTCATTTGCTGCTTTTACTCATTACTTCTTTACTCATATTTCCCTTAGGTTTGTTTTTACTCATCAAATTGAACTATAAGGATAATTGATTTATTTTCATTTTTTTAAATAACAGAAGCATTTAAAACCATGAAATTACCACTGTTCCCCCTGAATATCACAGCTTTAGACATCTGGACAAACTTTTATGAAATATTTGTGTATCTCACTTTTATTTTTCAAAAACAATTATAATTACAATCTGTAAGTGTCACCTTCATTTAGTCACTGGCCAAATAATTATTTAAGAGATACCTCAAATCATTAATTTTTGTAGTTATTTAAAATATTCATAATAATATCTACTTTACCACATGGTAGTTTCAGAATGTCACATGATATCTAGGATTTCTTTTTGGCATAATATAGGATCAACAGTTGAAATTTTTGTTTAAGTTTATACATACACATACACACATGTTTTGAGGCATATTAGTATGCCTCAATTGAATGTAAGTAGCTATTATTATTAAAAAATCTGCTTTATTTTTTATTTAAGCAAAAAACCTGAAGCAATAAGCTAAAATTTCTAAAATACTTTTTCATACAGTTTTCTAGTATCTGTGATAACTTTTTCTTCATATTTAAACTTTTTACTAAAATAAAGAATATTTTAAGAAAAATATGCCAATGAAGTAAACAGCCTGAAAAACTGTTCACAAAATTAGCATAGCTGCACCACCAGGACCCAGGACAGCCCCTCCCCATTCTACACCCTTCCAGTCACTGCCCCCTCTCCGCAAAGGGAAACTCTCATCCTAGTTTCTAACCTCTAAGATTAGCTCTGCCTGTTCCATTTTTTCCTTTGTATAAATGGAATCATACAGCATGTACTCATTTGCAGTGGTCAGCTTTTGCTCGGCACTCTGTCAGGTTCGTGTAGACAGCTGCATGCAGAAAATCTGTTATCACTGCTTTGTAGCAGTCTATTGGGTGAGGATTTCACAATTTATTTATCCATTTTACTGATGATGGTCCTTTGGACAGTCTCGATTTCGGGGGCTATTATGGAAAGTGCTGCTACAGACATTCTAGTATATTCTTGTTGGTCATCACAAATATACACTTCTTTTGGAATGCATCCAGGAGTAAAACTGCTGGATCATGGGGTAGTTTTCTTTATATTTTGATGTTACATTAGTTAGCACAGAAAAGCACATGTAATTTTCGCTACTGATTGTGCTTTTTATTTAACATTGAAAAAAAATTTCCCTTAGACACCTTGATTGCTTTTACATCAAATTCTTCTTTGTCACTAAAAATTAAATTGTATGCCATCTTGTATTTTCTGTTTGTTTTCTTAATAAAATTTTGCCCATCCTTTTTACTTTTAAATTATTTTGTCTCAGGTATATCTATTTTAAACATCTTCTAAATGGATTTTGAAATCCATTTGCATTTACTTTCATAGCTCCTTTGCTTTATCTAACTTCCGTACACATGTTTTAGGCTGGAGTTGTTGTTTTTTTAAACACTCTCTTAGGGTTTCCTTTGCTTTTTGTCCCTGTCTATATATGAGCTATGTTACATACCTTCTGTTTCAGGAATTATTTCTGCTACTTTTGTAGCTCATATACTTTTTAATGTTTATTTTATTTTTGAGAGAGAGAGAGAGAGAGAGAGAGAGCACGAGCAGGTGAGGGGCAGAGAGAGAGGGAGACACAGAATCTGAAGCAGGCTCCAGGCTCCAAGCTGTCAGCACAAAGCCCAACGCGGGGCTCAAACCCATGAACCATGAGATCATGATCTGAGCTGAAGTCAGATGCTTAACCGACTGAGCCACCCAGGTGCCCCTGTAGCTCATATTTTTAACGACTGTCCAAACTCATTCCTTGTATTTTGAATTTCCACATTTCCGTGTGGGTTCTGATTATGCTCATATCGTGCCACGTCAGCACTGGGGTCCCCTCCTCCCTGGCTCCAGGTCCCTCACCAGGGGCCTAAGCAGCAGATTCTGGGGAATGGTGACTAAAGAAAGCAGTGTGTGGTGGGCTGAGGAATGAATGTGCAGAGGCTGAGGGAGGAAGCAATTAGTGCTGCTCCAGTCCCGTAAAGAAATCTTGCATGCTGCTATGAAAGAAATCATCTTTTTTCATGATCAATAAGTGAGAATAAAAGACTGTGACTGTTTTCAGTGTTTCTGAAGCAGTACTGCCTCCGTGACACTCTCCAGAAATGAGCTATGTATGTACTGTGTGTATATTCCCTGTTCAATGAGTCCAAGGAAGAAGAATGTCTCATTGCCTAGGGAGGCCTGCAAAAGCCACATACTCCCACTGTCTTCCTCCTAGCCCCACCCTGAGTCCTGCTACCTTTGGGGGGTATGGCAGGGGGCAGAATCAGGGCAACAGAGGAAGCGGCAAGAGCCAGGTCCACTGACACAGCTGTGTGGCAATATGACAGAAGCTTTTCAGAAGCTGAAATTCCTTCTTGTTTCAAGAAATATATGAGACCACCCCATGGAACAATAGCCTTTAGCATCTTCACTTGTCTCAAAGAAAGCAACATATAACTAGTTTCAGTTTATTAGTAACCACTCTTCGGAGTACTCCATTTACACTAAGTCATTCATTCCTCACATATGCTGCTCATTTTATAGGTGAGGCTCAGGGAACTTGAGCAGCTTTCCCAGTGCTATACACGTAGAAGTGGAAGAAATGGGTTTGGAACAATTATGTCTGACTCCATTACCCACGGATTCAACCACTGCTTCCCCCTAGTATTATAACCCAGAGCTCCATGATCCAAGGTGGGCCAAGGCCTCAGGACTGGGAGTATGAGCTCCCCCTGGAGGCCAAGGTGTCGTATGGCAAGGGTGGGAACATTGCTAGATTGGAGGCAGGCTGTTGGTATAAATGTCTTTATTCACGTCCCACCTCATTCCACTCTATTGAGAGATTAAACCATCAGAGATGGGCAAACGCTGAGGCAAGATGAGGTTCAAGTTGTGGCTGTGGGCACAGGTGGCTGAACCAAACAAAGGAAACGTGTCAGCTATTGGGATCAAGCATAGCAAGGCTCCTGCCAGGCAGCCCCTGGATCTCCCCATGGTACTGGCACTTTCCTGAAGAAGAGGAAGACCCAGGTGACAAATATCTTTAATTAACGTCAGCAAATAACTAGAAGGCAAACAGATGACAGCCAGAGAGGACGGAGGGAGGAAGTGCAATGGAGGGGAAGAGCTTGCACCCTCATGGGAGAGGAGCCTCTCTAAAGGCTGAGAACTGTCCTAGGAGAAACAGTGGGACTATCTGGGATACGACAAAATGTGCTATCCCAAGAGGGTGACAGAGAAAGATCTGTGTGAAAAAGTCACTTAGATGAAGGTCAATTCCAGTGCTTTGAGTTGAAAAAATTGAGAGTCAAGAAAAAAGGGATACAAATATGGGACGGTGCAAAAACAGAGAAACTTAACGTCAAACCAAGTTAAATGCAAGTGAAAATATACTAAAATAGATCATTCCAAGGACTACTTATACCATTCCGGAACAGCAATTCCTTACAGTGATCTACAGGCCCCTACCCACCAGGGACCCATTACCACTCCAACCTCATCTCCCTTCACTCTGCTCCTGCTCCAACTAGGACACAGCTGACTTCTTCTCCCTCAAGGTCTCAAACTTGCTGTTCCTTTACAGAGAAGTTTTCCCCATGTACCTTCCACACTCCTTACTTCACCTCCTTTAAGTTGTTGCTCAAATGTCCTTCCCTGAACTCCCTAAATATACAGAACCCTCTCACCAAATACATGTGCCCCTCCTAACCTCATGACCTGCCTTACTTTTCTCCATAGCACTTACCACCAATTAACTTATTAAATTAATATTTACATATTTGTTGTTTCTCTTGCTCTATAAGATCATAACTGCCTAATGACAGGAATTTGTTCACTTAAGTCCCATTTTCTCTGGGACTTTCTC